ATATATATATATATATATATATATATATATATATATATATATATATATATATATATATATATATATATATATCGTATGAAATTACAAAGAAAAAAAATTAACTTTCTAAAAATAAATATATTATGTGTGCCATATAATTTGGGCTAATTTAGTTTAAAGTCCCAAACAAAAAAGCAGAAAGATAATTCAAAACAAAAAGGTTATCACTTTCAGAACATGAGATTGAAAATGGCTTTTCACCCAAATATTCAAGATTTAAAATAATACATAATGAAAGTGTCATTGTTAGGATGTCACAGCAGCAAAAAGGTTTTGAACTGTAGGACAGATATCATGGATGTTATCTGGACCCTAACAAACAAGTTCAGCTTTTACTCCAAGAAAAAAGACATTGTAATCTCAATCATGAGCTCAGTGTAGGATGATGAAATCAAACAATTCATCATCTTCAGAACAGGAATTGCACTCAAATCAGCACAGCATGATAATAATTTCATCACTTCATCTCTATTACCCAAATACATGGGTTGAAATGTTAGTGTACCTCTTCGTACATCCTCAAAGCGAAAGGCTGGAACTTCCGATATGTTAACGCGACAATAAATTAGAAGAAAAGACCAACGGAGGTTATTCTCTATCTATTGCTTCCCCAAAACACATTCCTTGTTTTATGCAGTTCCTTGTGATGCATATTCTCGAGGCTGCCGCATGTTGAGTACCAGGCTGGACTCTTAACCCTACTTGTTCTCTTCCACCAAGCTTATTTCTTCTACATGAGAGCTGCAAAACAAATCCGACATGTGTCGATTTAAGTTTCAAATGTCCCTGTTCTTCAATCATCTCAACTTGTTGCATATTCTCAAACAGTTTTAAAGTGCTTAATCTTCATAGGGGCTTAGTACCATCCATAATGCCTGTCTTCAAAGTTTTGCAAGAGGGGCATTCTGCCTCAAAACCAAGCACATCGCATGAGATGCACCGACTGCAACTGAAATCACGTGGTGCGGACCCAAGTCCTCATCCTCCATCAGGAACTTAACTTCAACGGGCAGTTTTTGGAATTCTGGCAGACCAGGAACACCTAGCTGACAATCTCTTGCATTTCCCCACATGTATAACTTACCTTTATCTGATTTATCCAAAAAATAGATATTAGTGCTGATAAACTATGATATATGTTGATCAGGATATCTACTAGGCAATACAATGAGGATGAACCGAAGACAAAGCGAAATGATATATTAAGATACGGCATAACACATACTTCCGCTCCTCCATAAACATGAGGCTTTAATGGAAATTAACACTTTTAATTTGTACAACACATCATGAAACATGAACAGGTGGAGAAAGGCAGATAATGTCAGAAAAAAATGGAAAACAGAATTCTTACCTGTAACAGCAGCTGAGGTTGACCCTCCACTCGCAATATGCACGACATGCTCCTGAGCCAAAGCCTCGATGCCAAGTGGTACTTTCTGGTTTTGAACAGAAGGGTGACCCAATTGACCATGACCTCCGTGGCCCCACGAAAGAACTTTACCAGTATCTAAGCAAGTCTCGTAATAATATTTCTAGTTAGATTATAAAGTTAGATATGTGTATGCACTAAGATACAAAGATAAAAACATACACATATAAAGATATGCATATACACTTTTACATATTTGTACATATGCATATGCATAAATATATTGCATGAACTTGTGGCAACACTGGAGAAACCTAAGATTTGTTGGAATCTAAGCATAACAATAAGCAATTAAAAGAAGACAATAACCACCTTACTGCCTGCTTGAAGTGTACATGTACATATGTTTACAAATGTCTTGAAGCAGTGGCATAGGAAAATTTGTGGCAATAGTCATATAACCTTAAGATTTGGTGCACTATAAGCAGGGTCTGCTGTACCGAGCCGTACTGCCTGGTGCGGGCGGTATGTACCGGTCTGACAGGTTGTCGGTACGCGGACCGACTGTTACCGGTCCGAGAGTACTGTAGCACTGTATCAGTGCACTGTAATACTATAGCAGTGCTACAGTACTCGATACACCCAGGTGTACCGCTCAGTATACCGTACCATACCGGTACCGAGCCCAGATCGAAATACCGGTACGGTACGGTATTACGAACCTTAACTATAAGCATAAGAAAAACAATTAAAAGATGACATCAACCACCTTACCAGTTAAAGCTAAAGAATGATAACCACCACTGGCTATCTGAATGATGCGAGTGTCTTTAAGGCTTGGAATAGTCTGTGGTCTCCAATCACTGACATTATTGCCTCTCCCTAGTTCATAATTTGAATTTGCTGCAAAAAGAATAAAGGGAATTCTTTTGATAAGCAGCTTGATCACTTTCAGAATAACAGCCAAGAAAGTCAAAAAGCAAAAACAGATTCTAAATGTGGCAAAAAATGACTCAATTAATTGTTAATTTAGTAAAAGCAACTGTCCATGTCAAAATTATATCTGAGTATAACAGTAAACAGGAAAAATAAATGAAAACTAAGACTGAAGAAAGCCAAATTTTACAGCTGGTAGTTTGCTGATCTCTAATAAACGATGGTGCATGAAACTAAAGCCACATTTGGCACCATTTACTTTGTTGCTTTTCATTTTTTAGATACAAAAGCTGTAAATTTTAAAAAATAAAACAAGCTTCTGGTAGCAGTACATTAATGTTTTTAGAAAGATACTTTTTAAATCTTGTGAAACTTTTTGGAACTACAAAGTTTGAACTCATAAAATTAAGTCATCCTTATTAGATAATTATTAACTATGAAATCCTTACCTCCCCAGCTCCATATTTGACCATCTGAAGTAAGTGCCATTGTAAAAAAACCACCACAACTGACTGCTGTGACAGGGACAGGTAGTGCATTTACTTTGGAAGGGATGGAAAAAGAACCAGCTTCACCTGGGCCTCCACCACTACCAAGTCCCAGCCTACCATCTCCTTGATCACGACCCCAAGTAAAAAGCTTACCTGCAATTGTAAATGCGAAAATACAAACAGAATAATTTGGTGAATTCAGGTGGAAGCCCAACGTCAAATTCAGATATAATAACATGTAATTTTATTTCATTGTGACAGTGTAATCATTAACATATCAAATTTGAACAAAATCCGACAGAAAAAAAAAAAGCAAGTTAGCCTCAAGAAAATCCATCTTAGGAACTAAAGGGATTGAGAGTATATCCATGTATTGTTGTGACATCAAAAATTCAAGGCAGTGAACCTATTATGGGAATTAGAGCAATCAAAGTTCCAATCATGATCATCTTAAGACCTAAAATAAATATGAAGAGAAATGATGATTTCAAGTTTGTACGTCTTGATAACTGTAGAAATTCTCTAATTCTAACATTTGTAACATTTCATTGACCCAAAAAATGCATCAACTATCTAATGAAAAGTTTTATTGCATCAACATCAGAGGCTAGAGTAAACCAACATGTTTAATGTGGTGTCTCATACTCTCAAACCACTCCTTTATATTCTCTCTCTCTCTCTCTCCCCTTCTGTACATGCATCTTGTGTATATCAGATCATATGTATAAGCATTGAACACTCATGTTTGCACATATGTATCAGCACAAATGCAGTGTCATATCAGAAATATACAACCTACTGTGAGTACATATCTAAAGAAATTTCTTTAGCCTTGTTACATGCAATTTTGGATATAATGAAACATGCCAACAATAACCAGGATGACTCAAGACAACTTTAGTAACTCACCATTTTCCTAAAATAACCTCATATTAAACTACGGATTGTGCTCTTCCAAGATATCCAAATTGACTGTGGCGCAGAACCAAGAAAGTTACACAAAGAATATGATCTTCCATATTTGTGCACATACAGTATGTGAAAATCTACTCTACTCTTATGAGTCCTATATCAGGCATATTTTCTCACACACTTCCATTGTCCCAGCAGTAGTTGTTGTCATTCAAAAGCACTCAACAAGCTCTTAAGGAAATATAATCAGTAAGTTCTTGTCTAGTGGGGTTGGAGTTTGACAGGAGCATTAAGTTATGTTGCAGTGAAAGGAAAGAAAAATGGACAAGAAAGAGCATTGACCAACATGTCTAAGTTCTGAATATCTGCTTGGGCAAAAGATATATCCATTAAACTTGAAGCGGATGTTAAGACATCCCATTAGCCTAAAACATAGGATGCGTACATTAAAGTAAAAAACAAAACATCAAGGTCTACTTGCGCATGTCACTGCAATAAGAAGATGCACAGATCAGAACACAAGCACAGAAGTATAAATTGGAGTTCTTGTTCTCTTTCCTCCGCAAAATTCAATACACAATTAGAAGAATATATTTTAAATTAAAAGTTCTACAGAACAAATTTCATCTTGGCATATGCAAAACTTATAAAAATTATTTTTTGGTTCAAGAATTACTTAAGAAATAGTTTTTGAGATGATCAACAACGTTTGTTTAACAAGTCATCTTCTTGAGCACCATTTTCCATGAAAAATCTTTCGATGGATGCAATACTAGATGTCCTAATTTTGGGAAGATTAAGCGCATATAGCTTCAAATATGATGTTCTTTTCTCGCTTTTGGCTCCTTATATGCAAATTACAATCACCAAATGTTTAAAATGGACAAGTCAAAGATACAAGAAACCAGAAGCATAAGATAGCTATTACAAAACTGGTTGTTTAATAACAATTACATAGTAAAAATGAGTGGCAGAAAGCAAAGGGACAGATTTCTGCATAAGTACATGAGCATCAACCAATCAAGCTAATAAAGAATGATTATAAGGTGGATAGTACTTGACCAGTTTCAGTAATAGCAGCAGTATGGGCTCCACTAGTCGCAAGATGCGTAATATTTTCCTCCCAAGAACCTTTTACAGCTCGAGGCAGCAATTCTCTATGATAAACTGAATGCCCAAGGGCTCCGAACCCACCATAACCCCTGAAAACTTCACCCAATTAAGCAGCAGTGTCACTCTGCTAATCCAACAGATGGATAATATGGGTAATAACAATATCCCAAAAAGAAGAAGAAGAAAGACCACGATGCACATGTGATAGATCAAAACTTTAATTTTTTCAACAAGAAAACAAAAAAGGAACACAAAAGTCAAAATCTTTAACCATGTTAAGTGTATTGCGGACCAGAGAATAATCTAAAAGAGCACAACTTGAGCATAATACATGAAATTGGGATAAAATTCCATGATGAGAATGCCATGCTTACCGGCCGTCAAACAAAGCCATTCGAATTCCCATTCATCAAATAAAACCCAGACGTAATTGACTTCGAAATCATCATTCTTTAAATACACACGAAGTAAAAGAAGAAGATAGTTATACGGACCACGTGAAGACCTCTCCGGAGCGGGTAAGGGAGGTTGAGTGGATCCCACCAAGGGCAATACTCCGAACACCTTCAAGATTAGGGTTTAAGGTAGGAACGAAGACGGTGTTCTCGTCACCGAACCCGAGCCTCCCACCATCACCCTTTCCCCACATCCAGAACTTCCCATCCACGAGCAAAGCGGAATGGAAGAGCCCGCACGAGACCCCCACTTCAACTTTCGCGTCGGCGGCGGACCCAACCGGCGGAGAAGGGAGGCGGCCTTGAACGGGGGCAAGGCGGAAATCGGGAGGGAGGCGGAGGGTGGCCACCGAGGAAGGGTACAAGCGGGTTTCCTCCTTGCCGCCGCCAAGCTGGCCGGATGCGCCGCGGCCCCAAGACAGGACCTGCACGGTCGATGATGGCAAGTCGGATTCCTCAGCTGCGTGGCTCCACAGGATCGGACCGGCGGCGGTGTGCAGGTGGCGAAGCCCGCGCAGGGAGCGGCGCCGGAGAGCCATCGGTTGGCGGCTGCGAGCGTTGCCGAGTCGCTTCGTGGGAGGGTTTACGCCGCAGCCGCCTTAATAGGTCCTACACGTAGCAGTTGCTAACGTTTTTGGTTTGTGCTTTTTGTTGCCAAAAACACACAAGTAAGCCACCTTCTAAACTTGTTTTATTATACAGTTTTTGTTGTTTGTTTCTCAAGAATGCTTTCCTCCTAATATATGTATATATATATATATATATATATATATATATATATA